AGTTTTTATGGTTTATTATGGCCCAAAATGTGTTTTTAGGCCACAGTGTAAGGCATTGGCAATCAGAGTAAGGTTATTTAGATAGGAAAATTATTATCTTTTTTATTTTTGATCCGGCGACCTAGCTAGTCGTTCGTCGGACTACGGGGTGATCCGGCCTGTCCGAAAGGGGGGATTCCCCTGCCCCCGTTGGTGCCACCACTGGGTTTAACGCAAGCATTAAATATAATATAAGGAAACACACTGTACCTTCGTTTCTGCTGTCTGTTTCACTAAGAACCTGAGATGAACACATAATATTCTCAACATACATACTAATTACAGTTATTAATATTCCGCGTTTAACAAAACTGAAGTCCATCATAACGATTGTACACCACTGTCATACTAAAATTACGAAGTGTAATGAAATTCTCGGGTCGGGAATTTGAGTAAGCGTGCTTTTCTAACGGTGACCATAACATTTTATTCCTACCAGTGCAAATAATGTGTTCGTTGCAATCAAGTATTTTAACAGTTTTAATTTGATCGGTGGTACTTCCAGAACGACTATACAATACCGCCCTCTATCTGTTGTGGACGAAATATTTGAAGAGATGTTAGTTCCTAAAACTCTAGATCTGGTTTGTCCATGCAGCCCCTCTTTCCATAGCAATACGGGACCATAATTGAGTGACTTCAAACATAAACATGTTTTTTTTTTTAGAAATGACTAGTGTGCTTGGTTTGATTTCTAATTTATTGTCAAATACTTAGGTGAGATTTAACCTGATGTCTTTTTTTATTTCATAATACTTATTATTTCATCTGTTTAAGTTTCAAAATTATATTCCATCATCTTAAATTTATTAGTATCTAAGTTACTGGAATTATTAATTGAATTGATATAATTATAAACATAACTTACATCCATGTTAATATGTTGTTGACATGGGTCACTATGCAAGGTGATTTATGCTATAGAGTTTTAAGGAGTATCATGGGCCTGGAACCGCCGAGGCCTGTGGTGCACAATTGGCTTCATATTTAAACTCTTCTATTCATTGATTAGTGTTTTTTAGGTTGTTTAATTAAAATGCTGTTCTTAGTGATTTTTTTTAATGGTAAATTACCATCTCTTCTTTATTCTAAAGCACATCACATACCATTATTATTATTATTATTATTATTATTATTATTATTATTATTATTATTATTATTATTATTGTCATCTCTTATCTTCGCCATCGTCATTGTCATCCCTGATATTCATCATCTTTATCACCATCATCATCAATGACATCCTCATCATCATCATATCATCATGATTATCCTCCTCCTCATCATCTCCATTGTCATCACTATCATTAATATTTGAAAACAGCAACATCTCCATCGTCACTATCACTACCACATTCGAAATAAAAACAAAATTAATATTAATTTCATCACGTTCTTTTAATATTTTATTATAGCTTCAACCGATTAACAATAATATTTTACTTTTTATATAATAAGGTACAAACATTTCTGAAACCTAACAAACAGCAAACGACTCAGAGTTGTTATCATTATTAAAATAAAGCAAAAACTATTACATATAACCATGTTTTTTAAATATGTATTACATTTTCAAAACAATATTTAATCAGTAGTTCTTGAAGTATAACTTACACCTTACTCTTGAGAATTTACATAAAAGATTTTCTAATACACATTATTTGTTTTTACTTTCTCAAATAAGCGCCGCACCAAACTTGATTTTTTTTCACAAGCGCCGCTCTCGAATAAACGCCATTCAAGAGTACATAATTACCATGAGTGTAATGAAACGCTTTGGGAAACTGGGTTTTAAATAGAATTTATACCGTGTTCAAATAAAACAGTGAATAAATAAAACAAAGACACAATCATATCTTTATAAACGTTTATTTACGATAGTGTGGTCTATGATAGGCCTACCGAACCATATGTGAGATACCGGTAGGTATTACATACGAATAGGCATGGAAAGCGCCACAGCAATATATATATTTAATAAGCGCCGCTCTCGAAAGCGCCGTACTGAAGCCTCAAACAGTATTATAAGGTGCTTATTCGAGGATTTACAGTAATAAATTAAATGCTCATATTTGGCCACAACCTTTCTCACCCTAGCCAACAATATCCAGTCATCCGCTTGAATGTACATAAAATCGACAATGCTACCATTGTATTGCTTTGATGTTTGTCAGAAATTGTCCTTCCTCTTAAAATTATGTTTGATTTACAACTAGTAAATACATTTATAATTATTTTTTATTCAAAAATTGAGTACGATGGTATGTTTTGCTGTCGCTGGCGTGTGGATACTAAGTAGGTGTATCCACACGCCAGTGAGAGCAAACTATCGTACCAAGTCGTTGGTAATGAAATATGTACCAAACTATAATAAGCTCTAACAAACAAATACAAAATTCTTTATTTGTCAAAATTCATATACATAAAATTAACAGACAAAAAATTGAAACAAGACAAAAAGAAACCCTCCTGAAGCCCTAAGAGCATGTTAAAAAAACAGAGAGGGGCCTAAGAAAAGCGTAACAATCGAGTCAAAATTTAAGATTAATCTAAGATTAAATAAATAATAATGAAAAAAAGTATGCTATAAAACAAGAAGGAAGGAAACCTTAGAAAGGAAAAGAAAAGAAATAATAAGAAGTATAAGAATGAAATATGAAAGACAGATACGAATTATAAGAAAGAAAACGGAAGGAAAGATAAGGAATCTAAGAAAGAAATGTGAACGATAAGGGAAAGGGAAGAAAGACAAGAAGCAAAAGGGAAAGAATAATGAAAGGCTTCGTGATGAATAGGAAAGTTACAGGCCTTGCAATGGTTCCAATTACCAAAGTATTGTAATAATAATATTTATTGATAATCATCAAACCAATCATTTGAACTTAATTAAACTTAATTAAAACCCAAATATTTGATAATAATTTTTGGTACATTTGCATCTGGTTTGGTTTTTTTCTTCTCTGTTGTTGTCAAGCGCCTTGAAGTTGTATCAACGTGAGGCGCTATATAAATCCAGAATTATTATTATTATTAGGGCCCTATATAAACAATGAAACAATAACACACACTTAAATTAACCTACAATTAAGTTCATAAGTAAAAAGATAATATCAATGCTTGAAATGATATAAATAAAACATAAAAAAAAAATAAATTCAAAGAAAAAATAAATACCTAGTAGGCCTACTTCAAAAACGGGCATTGTAACTCTCAATAAAAACGAAATATATATTTTTAAATAACTGAATTGATTTAGCATTTTTACAGATGATTGAATTTGATTCCATAATTCCATAATATTGGACCAGTGCAAGAGACATGGAGACTAGTACATGAATGTGATCTCATAGGAGTCCTAAGATCATTTTTTGTTTCTGTCGGTACATCAATGGAAATGTCCATCAGTAAGGTTATTAGCCTAGATATTTTGTTACTCAGCTTGTTTACGGCATTTTAAATAAATACAGATGTCTGATATTTATTATTATCGGTAAGTAAAAGTACACCACAACTGTAGAAAAGAGGTAAAGTATGGGCATCAAAAGCTAACCAAGAGATGACTTTAATAGCATTTGTAATGCTAATAAGTAACTTGACAATCTAGTAATATAATTATTGCACCAAGCAATATTACAATAACACTTTATGGGCTCAATTTGAGATCTATAAATCTATAAATGGAGCAGAAGATAGTAAGTAATTTCTAATTTTATATAATAACGCTGCCTACGTATCTAGATACTGTACTTTCTTGCAAACCTCATTAATTTGTTTACCAAATAAAAGAATCGTCAATTAAAAAAATGTGTGTGTTCAACTTTATCGATTTCATCCAAAATTAATATGCAACTGTAAACATTAAACCAACCAACCTATCAATGAATCAAAACATTTTATTAGTTACTCTAATCGAGTGTGAATTGCGTTGTCAATTATGTCGAAATTACTTGTTGAAGATGATTGGCAATGACGAATTCTCGTGTGATGACAACCGTCTTAGCTTCCACTTAATTTTACTTTTCTGTTTATATTAATAGACTTGCAGATATTAATTCTCTGGAAATAATGTTTGTTCTAGTTATCAGATTTAATAGAAATGCCTTCAGGGGAATTACTAATACGAATGAGGTTTTCCCCTACCTGACGTGTTATATTACTAAATGCTAAGTTTCAGTACGTTCCCAAATGCTTGCAAGTGACTTGGTTGGTGGTCTAGTAGTTAATACACCAGGCTAGTTATATGGAGGTCGTGGGTTAGATTCCGACCGAACCACTTGCGAGATGTTTTTCGCAATCATTTCGGAACGTACTGGACATTTATTAGGTTTAACACGTCAGGCAGGACAAACATCATTCGTATTAATACAAAATTATTAAACACCAAGCATAACCCACGAAAATCTGCAGAAGACTTAATTTTAGTGGGGTCCTTCTTGTGGTGACTGGGAAGTACACCGGGAGACAATTCTCTACTCTTTTCCGAAAAGTGTACTGCGTCCTTTAATGTGCACAATGGCTATGATGCATATGAGGCCAACGCCTTAAACGTCTCATCCGAAAGACGGTGAGTTATAGTAACTTTCATTTCTGCTCTCCATCTTAAAACAAGGAGAGCAGAGATTTGGATTAAACAGGGGGGACCAAGAGACCTTCACGATTCAGCGCACACACAGTGCCTACCACCAGCTTAGCCGAATGAGCTAATCTGCTCTTCATTCCACAGTTGCTCTTCTTTCCACATCAAGGGCGATTTCTCTTGTGTCCCTTATGAAGACAACCTTTATGATTTTATCATGTATGTGTGTAGAGGGCCCCTGAATATCAGCCTAGGTGGAAGGGCCACCCTCTATAAAATATGGTTGAAATAAGTAAATAAAATATATTAATGGATTCTCTCACATGAAGACGAAAACGTATGATTCGTGATATTAAAAAAAATAAGTATCAGTCATGATCTTGACTGATTTGATTAAATTTTATATTAAAAAATCGAAATCTGTGCAACGGAAACATTAGATGTAAATAAGTTCCCGTAATCTCGAAAGCTCCGATGAGGGCAGTATAAAAGCGGCAGTAGAGTATTGGCCGTATCGTCCTCCAATACAAAAAAAGGAATCTATTAATAGAGGCAGTAGATTATATTGGCCCTAACGGCCACCCATACAAAAAGGAATCTATTATTCAATCAGTCGAAAAAATAATCTATTATATCAATCAGCCAAGTATTCATATAGCTCCTCATTGGAGCTAAAACATATGTTATGCAGAAAGATTATAGAAGACTGTATTGCAAATTCATTCCGATTTATTAAATTCTGATGACTTTGTGTCTCATTTCAACCTTCAATAATCCTAGATTATTTTCTATTCTGTAGTGCCACTGTAGTACTTTAGCCTATTATTTTCATCTTGATTATGTTTACAATGCATATCGATTATTATTGCATTTTACATTATTTGTTACAAATAGTATAGGTTTATATTATTGTCTATTTTACTTTCAGTAGTGCAGTTGATGCTTCTTTAATTGTAGACACATTGTCATAAAATTTGCAAAAAGCTTAAAATGTTAATTTGTAAGTTATCAATTACAAATGAAAAACATATTATATGAAAGAAGTAAACTTTTACTGATCTGTAGACTTCTTAATTAAAACATCTTTAAATTTATTACTAGCAAATAATAAAGAAAATTTTATTTATACTAACACGGATATATTTTATAATTTTACTTTTTTATAGAAAGAATTTCAGTTAGCTTCTACTTAACAAAATAACTTACTTAAATTTAATAATCTTAAATTAATTGATTTTAGCATATTACAGAGGATACCTTCTTTCACCTATTTCCTATTCATAACAAATAGAAAACCAAAAAATGAAACAATTTTAAAAATTATTTACAGAAAACATTAAATTCTTATTTTACAAAAGTAAACAGTATTATTGTATTAAATAGTTGATATGTTACACCAGAGCTAAATTGACGTAACTGTAGATATCTGAGTCATTGTTTTACTATTACCAATAGGTCGTTTTGCTTGGTATCTTTCTCTTAAGAGACTACAGACGCGATTGTTGCACACAAAAGATACGAATACGAAAACACCTTGTAAGGTGCAAAGAACAATGAAAACGTACCAAAGAAATTCAATGCCAGTAAAACCCGCTATAAATCCGAATATCCAAGAGAAACCCATCAAAGAAGTTATCTGCAATGAAAAATCATGCCATTGTAATAGTGTTTAGTGTATTAAGCAAAATATAATAAAACAATAAAATTGTGAAACACATAATAATATATTGGCCTACACAAATAATCTATATGAATTTATTGTTTCTAACGATCTGCACTTTCGGAAATGGAAAATGAATAATGCTTTAACTAAACATTGCCATTTAACTAATTGTTAACATCATAACACGTATAATATACGGAACACGAATAATCTATATGAAATTAATGTTTCGAACGATCAGTTGTTACCGAAATGGAAAATGGATATGCTTCAACTAAGCATTGTCATTTAAATAATTGTTAACACTATAACACGTACAATATACGGAACACGAATAATCTATATGAAAATAATGTTTCTAACGATCAGCAGTTTCCGAAATGAAAAATGTATATGCTTCAACTAAATCAAATCAAATCAAATAAAATCTTATTCAAAAATATCGTCTTTGTAGCTTTCCGCTAAATTGAAACTGATAATGATACACCGAGTACATGTATGACATAAATTAAGAACAACATGGCTACAACTATAATTAAATAACAAACAAAATAACCTAATCTATATTAAATTTAAAAAAAAAGCAAATTGATAAAGATGAATTTGGTAAAATTGTGGCCTGTTGGTTCTGATGATATAACATCTAATTTAGAATATTTATGATGTGTGGTATGGGGCTAAGCATTTTCATTTAAATAATTTTTAACACGATTTGATTAAACTACGGTACTTACTAATAACTAACCTTAAAATATATCTTCATTTCTGTCGTGATAGAACTCGTATTGGGTGCATTACGATGCAGAATCTCAGAGGCCTTAATCGTCTCTCTGACACCATGTACAGTCATTCCAAAGAAAATTGAATTTAAGAAAAGAGCGAAAGCAACAGGACCACCGAAAATAACTAGGCTGATTACAGGATCACTAATCCAACAGACAGAAGTTGATCCGTACTCGAAGCCAAGACTCTCAACTGTCATCGATAACATCACACATATTGCGACTATAACAAACGGTGAACCCCACGCAATAATGGAATACTTTACAAAAGTTTTCCATTTGTCACCTTTACTTTGATCATATGTTTTTGTTTTGAACGTTTGGCTGATATCATATGCTAAAACGCTCATCCAGAAAAATGAAGCCAACCAAAAGAAATGCATAGTTATTGCAATTACTTTACAGACAGCAGTAATCTTAGTTTGGCCTGCTCCAAAAGTGAGAAGAAATTGGGCCCAAAACAATGTCACGTTAAAACTCATGACTGCCATTCCTGGCAACGTTCTAAGAGACGACAACAAACAATAAACAAGAAAAGTCAATACAAGGGCGATAAGAGATAGAATGCATCCAATAACGCTCAAAATAGTTTGGGTAGTGTTGTACTGAAGAAAATAATTACTTTCTGTTTGTCCAAATGTGGAACAAATCTTGACAGTTTGGTTGTCTGTCAGTTCGTAAGATTCCAGTCCATAGACCTTTCCCGATCGAATATGTTTTAAGGTTTTATTAACTATCACATAATTAGTTATCTCATCATGTATGAACGGACAGGTTAGCCCAAAGACATTATTTTGTGAACATAGCAATAACAGAGTTGTCGAATTGTAAACATCGCTATTATACTGTTTATACTGATGTCGAAATAGAGAGCGATCTAGTGAAAGAAATGACTGGGACTGGTTGATGTAATACATTGTCTGGTTACCTATAGTTTTTGGAAACACATGGCCGTCGACATTAATCCCCTCAGAACTACAATTTTCCGGCTTATGAAAATATTCACAAAATTGATCAACCGACATTGACGTCACATTGCAATTCGTAAAATTTTGTTGACGTTTTTCAATGTTTGGTGGAAATAAATATGAAAGGTATTTACTTAAATACTGGTAATTCATGTTACTTCGTAGTTCGAAATAAAGTTCTAATTGATTATTGGTAGAATAATGAGAATACGATGTTAGTACTATAAATTCTGTTGAATTAGCAGTTTCGAAGTTCTGAAGAAGACACGTCAAAGTGCTATTGGCGTTGGTATCTTTATTGCCTCTAGTACTTGTATTGAATTGTAACAGCCACGTGCTACAAATTGATGCGATACATTGGTTACCTAGAAGCTGGTACCCATCAGAACAGTAGAGAATGATGCAAACCTTTCTAAAAGGATCAAACACTTCGCCACTTTTACATAGCTTTTTTGTTTCTGTTGCTAGAATTTTACTGGCAGAGGCTCCAAGTAGCACCGTCAAAGGTCTTGAAAAACCGGGAAAAGGAGGTCCTTCATTTTCTTTGTTAAAATCATTTTCACTCAAGCCAAGAGATGAACAGTTTATAGTTCCATTAAAATCAATTCCATTGCAAAGAGCACATTCGGAGTTTTTATACAATGTTATTTGATAGTTGTTCTCATAAACTATAGGTTCGTAATATTCAGGACACCTCTGACCTGATTCATTGACATTAATGTAATCACAATAAGCAATTCCCATGTCAATGCATATTCTTGGTTGTAAGTATTCGGCTAAGCTAGAAGGCACACTATACTGAATGTTGAAGATATCACTTTCAGTTTCAGAGGAGTGTGTTTCCGGTTTCATTGCTTGCCATGCGATCATGTCGTCTATTTGAATATTATTGCAAAAAGCACAAAACATATTTTTAAAGTGATTACCATCCGGGTCATATACAGGTAAGTTTTGTAATATGTCGTGGACATCATCAACGTGTTCGCAAAGGTCTCTCGTGCGATCGTCAGTCCATGAAGAAGCGCAAGTCTGGATGATGTAGTACGCTTCCGACGATATATCAACGCAAGTGGCAGTAGAAACTTGGATTTCAGAAATCTGTGTTTCGTTGAACGAATTGTATTTATCTTTACAACAGTCGCCATAAATCAGACATTTCCCATCACATTTACAGTTGCTAGTTTCACCAGATGGCTGTTTATATAAACACGGTATATTCACACCTGAAATAAACAGTGAACTATTTAAGAAATTATTTACAATTTTCTCATGTTTATTTTTTACTGGCTTCGTACCATGATTATAATTTGTATATTGAGATAGGATATCTTAAAATGACTATCCCAGAATTGGTATTTAATTGAAGGGAGATCTGAATAAGGTTATCCAATTTAAGCGTTAATACAAAGTTTACAACATATTAAAATCGTAATAAAACTTATTCTGATAAATGCTTAAACTAGGAAAAATATTTTTTAATTAACATTTTTGACTTTCTAAATGTTACTTAGCAATTGTCCAAAGGTTACGGGACACTATATTTATATATGAGAAGTACTAGGTATGAGTTAAAATTGTATTAAGGTAGGCCTAGACATTAACTAGTACTAAAATAAGACAGAAGGTTGAGATTGAAAATCCGACTAACTACTACGCCAAACGTTCTCCATTCGGAATTTATGAAAAGTAGAATATAACAAGACATAGCATACCCGTAATATTTATCCCTTGAGATGAACACAGAAAAGGCCCGGTATCCCGAAGAAAGATTATCATTAAAAGTATTAGTATAAAGTATTCCGCGATTCTCAACACTGAAGTCCATAATGTATGTTGATGTTACCGCCGATTCTATATTATTATCACTTCACGAATATACTCAAATTCCTGTCCAACGTGCAGGGGAATAACTATATTTCTACCCGTCTATATAAATGTTTGTTGCTTTTAAATATTATTTTAAACGCTTCATTGGTTTTCTTTCTGTAATATGATGCTGCTGCTTTACGCAGATACGTTGTCATAGTAATAAGTTGCTCCAATATAAGAAGATTGATAGACGAATAAATAAGTTCAATCGATTACTTTATTTGCTTTTGTACACATTAAAGAAACACAATTTCTAGGCGATCTAATGATGGAAATTAAACAATTTGAATGCAGTTTGAAACATTCTCTGTTGAGGTTTTTTTGTTTGTTCTTGAAGTAGATCGACTCTTTTAATTTTAGGTAATTACTTTTTTCCATGATGATCACGTGACCAAGGTGTCAAAAGGCCTGGTGACAAAACGAACCAGGAGCAGCGGGCCCGAACCCTGTTTAATGACTTTCGGTGCTGAAAGTACGATGTTGAATTTAATTTGTTTTAATACTATGAATATCGTATTTCCTTTCTTCACCAAATATA